TTTTAAGAACTAAGTTGTCCGTATTAAATTGAAATAAACTAAAAACAATCTGGCAACGATGTCGTATATTGACTACCGAGGATTTGCTAGTTGCTACCTTGAGACGCAAGCCTCTGTGTGGCTGTATCAGTCTACTATAAATAGTGGATTTCTTCTTCCCACATTCACTTCTGATCTGATTCTTTTCCCCACTTTCAGAACAGTAAGAAGGTTGATAGAGTGAGAGAGAAGAAAGACTGCCACTCAACAAAAAGAGCAAGAAAAACCTCTTAGATACGTATACACCCTTACTTTCTACCTCAGAAATAACCACTCTTCAATCGTTTTCCATTCACTGAAGAAGGATCTTCGCAGTTGCAGCCATCTACCATGGTTAAGTCAGAGCACAAGATCAAAACAGAACCATCATCAAAGGCAATGCGGTCTATATCCTCGTTATCAGCATCATCACCAGCACCAGTTCCAGCACCAGATAGCAAGAAGAAGAAGTACAAGGGAGTGAGAATGAGGAGCTGGGGGTCTTGGGTTTCAGAGATCAGAGCACCAAACCAGAAAACAAGAATATGGTTAGGCTCTTATTCAACCCCAGAGGCTGCAGCTAGAGCCTATGATGCTGCACTTCTGTGCCTCAAAGGCTCCTCTGCTAATTTTAATTTCCCTTTAAGCTCTTCACAATATATTCCTGGAGATGCTGTCATGTCCCCCAAATCAATCCAAAGAGTTGCTGCAGCTGCTGCAAATAGTTTCATTGACAATGCCACCATTCCCCCTTCTGCATCTCCAGCTTCAACCTCATCATCATCGTTGGTCTCATCCCCCTCGATGGCCTATTCTCCTTCGGATCAAGTCGATGATGATGCCTCACTGATATCATCTCTGGAAACCTACACCAGTTATGATCAAGCAAATGAATCAATGGCTATGAATGAGATGGAACCTTGGTACACTTTAGATGATCTTCAATCCCCCAAGTATGTTGATCAGATGTTAAGTGGTGCTTTCTTTGATGTTGATTCGTCCCATCTGCTCGATGATCTATACGAAGAAAGCGACATCCGTTTGTGGAGCTTCTGCTGAGAAAAACTCCAGCCAACTCCAATATTTCTCTTTCCCAAAAATTCAATTCGTTTGTCTTCAGTGGTACAACTTGAAGATGTTACTGACTGTGACCAAATTAATTTTTTTTTACCCTATGCTACATAATAGTTCATATTAGATGAAATTCATATAGAGATAAGAATTTTTGGTCTCTCTTATGTGGATTTCTAAGAGTTTGAAATTATGTATCATTGATGAAAAGCTTGTATGTCAATGTCATGAATGGTTTCCCATGTGTCACAGAATAAAGGGAGAATTAAAAAACATGCAGTGGTCATCAATTTCCTTAGTTATAAGCAATTCCTTTCACTGTTATGGGAGAAGACTTTTGCTATTGAGTATTATTACAAGGAATTTGGCAGGGCCTTTGTTGCATGGGAAGGTATCAGAGATGCTTATTTCCAATTCAGTGAGAATAGGAAACCATGTACAGAGCGTGGTAACTTGAAACCATTGGAAAAAAGCGTCTTTTCTAAGCAGTGTCAGCAGCTCTCCTGCGTGCCCAAAGAACAAAGACTGTTCCCTTGTTTTGATGTCTAAGTTTGGTATTTTATACCTTATTCTTCTCATAGAAGAGAATAAGTTCAGTTTAATTTCCAATTCGTGTATAGTGCATAGTGATAAATCTTGGGTTAGAATTTGGGAATGCTTTTAATAATTGAGTTGGTGAAGGCAAAAAAATAAATAATAATAATTGAATATCAAAGCTGATTTGATTGAACGATGATTCCTCAGCAGTTTTTGTTATTGAATTGGGCCAACTTTGTTTGCTTTAGTAGCATATGATATCTAGCGAAAAAGAAAATTTGCAGTCATAACTGTTGATGCAAGCAACACTTTATCTTGTACTTCATGGAAGTGTAACATGTTGAGAATATTATATGCAATATGATATTCTTTACACAAGGAGAAGGGTAGACAAACTATGACGCTTTTCGGCAACTTTTCAACCCCATCATGTGTCCGAACCAGACACGACCTGTCCTATAGTGAAATGGGCTAAGGCATGGGATGCCATTCTCTCTTGCTCTCTTTACATTGCATCTAACTAGTCTCAACTCAACAAGGGCAAAGTGGCTTCCATATGATATTCTCATAATGTGAGGATGCAACAAAGCTTTTGCTTTTGGTGTTACTTGTTCATGTATTCGCAGGAAGAAGGGCAGGGGATCAACCCTTTCCTTTCACACCTTTGTTGTTCTTCAATCTATATGCACATACTAATGGCCCTACATAACATTGTGTCCCTAAGGAATCCATTTAATTTAGCTTATTCTCTATTTTATGCACATGAAAATGATATAACTAAATGACAATTTAAGTGTTGCGTTTTGAGACACAGCATGTGAGTGTCCTTATTTTGGCCACCAGCATGTGAGCTCAATGTGTCATTCAACACGCCATTATAATAAATTTTAAATTATTGGTGCTTCTGTTTGATATTAACAAAGGATTGCCTTGCTCGATGCAGTATCCGGCTAAATTTGTGATATTTTGTTTAGGTAAAATGCATTTTACTCTCTTTCTGATCAGTTCCTTTTGGAATTATGTCTGAAATGTACTGCTAAGTAAACCAGTTTGTGCTCATACAACTACCACGTGCTATAGAATTTGACAAGTCATGGTTATTAGGCTAGTCATTACTAATTTGAAGTACAGTGATATCCCATATGAAGAAGCCATTTATTGAAATAAATATACACATTTTGCTGGGTATTTCATGTGGGATCAGTGGCTTCTGATATAATGATTGAGAAACAGAATAATTGGGCAGGCACAAAGAAAAGGTAGGGGTAGGGTGGTGGAGATCCAACATTAAGCATGATTTAAATGATCCATGCTTCGCCATATTAAGACATAATTTTAGTGAAATGTTGATTAATCAAGAACCCGGGCAGATTTCAATCAATGATTTGTTTCACATGGAGCCTTTTCCAACAATGCATATTAATGCAACTTAGTATCTTGAATTACCAAATGAAAAATGATACTTTTGATACATATAATTTTTTTTACGTTCATTTCATATTATTTTTTTTAGAAAATTACAAAAGTTAACTCTTATGTGACTGTATTATTCTTGTTAGATGTGTTAAATGAATGCAAATGTATGCCATTTTACTATGACTCTTAATAAATAACTTGATTTTTTAAACCATGAAGGTGTTCTTTCTCGGTACACTCACTGTGCTGCCCACAGTATTTAACTAAAATGGGAGAATTTGGTCTAAATCGTGTGAGTGAAAGTTTGAAACTCTTGTCTGCTAACAGTGGGCATTTGGAATTCTATGCGCTACAGGGCTAGTTGGCAAACAGGACCTCAGGGATTACAATTATGTATACAAACTCTGATTATTACAGCCAGAAAAAAACAAACAATATTTCAACAACAAAAAATGCTGAATAAAATTCATTAATAAGAGTTGCCCTGATAATTTCTTTCATTTTTTTCATCATTGACTAATTAGAAACATGATGAATAAGAATTTTATCTTATAAAATATTTATTATATTACTTTTGTGTTTTATAATGAAAAATTAGTTTTAATAAAATAATGATGGAAATAATAAAAGAATAAGATATTATTCATAAAGTCTTTATAGTGTATATGTAAAATTTTTCTAACAATTATGGATCGACTAGTTTTGTTAAACGAACAATGCATACGCATCCTAGTCACATTTAGAATTGAAAATGATGCGGGTGCTACTCACTCCACCACCACCCCCTCCTCCCTCTACCATCCCATTCTTGTTTTATCCCTCTCTTTATTTTTTCATTCTTATTTTACCCATAGTAAAATTTTAGGCTTAATATTTTTTAACCTCTACCCACTCCAATCCTCTACATGTATGCAGCGGCAACTTTTCTTTCTCTTTATCGTTTGTCCCCTCATTGTTTTATTGCGCTCTTCTTCCTCTTTTTCACGTTCCACTTCTTCCTCTCATTCTTTATGATAGAATTGTGGTCTCAGAGTGTGGTGGACTTTCATTAGCTGGTGTGCTTAGTGAGAGATTGCAAGTGGTGGTGGAAGTAATTGATCAGTCGTGCCAAGATCGGTGTGTGGTGGTGGTGCTTGAAGGATTCGTCGTGAAGGCACATAATAAACCCTAAAAAAATAAATGTATAATCTTTAAACGGATGTCCGTTTAAGGAAAACAAATGTCGATATCCGTTTTGCCTTAAACGGATGTGGACATCGGATGCTCATATCCGTTTAAAGTTACATGTTTATTTTTCAGTTTATTTTTATTAGTTTACTTTTTTATATTAATTTTGGAGATATTTTAATAATGTAATTTATATGTTTTGATGTATTATTTTTGAATATATTTTTGATGTATTTTAATAATGTATTTTTGAAGATCTTTATTGTTATTAGTTTATATTTATATTTTTTTGTATTTTGCAGTTATATATAATTAATTTTTTTTAATGTTTTTGTATAATATATATTTTTTATATATGTTTTTGTATTCTTTAACAATTTTATAATTATATAAAAAATTATTTATTAATTTAATTATATAAAATATATAATTTTATTATATTAATATTTGTAATTAAAACAAACGGATGTGGTGGAGTTGGAGGGGTGAGAATCTGAAAAAGAGAGAGAAGGAGAGTTGAGAGGTGTGGCTGAGTGAAAAGTAAAAATGGGTAAAAAGATAAGATTTGATTTTAAAATAAATAAATAGGATTAAAAGTAAAAAAAATTATATTTGTAATTAAATTTTTTTTTCAAAAGGTTGGGGAGGTGGAGGGAGAAGTGGTGGTGGTAGAGGGGGCAACACCCAAATGATGCTGTGCTGTTTAATGACGATAAAAAGGCCCAAAAGCCCAAAAGAATGTAAAGTGGGCTTTTGCAACAAAGCCTATGGTGTATATGTAAAGTTGGGCATAAGCTGAGAGAAAATTTGAGTTGTGTGGAAGAGAAGCATGGTAGTGGGAAGTGCTTTAGGAGCTTTTGCAGTAGCAAGGCCATCGCCACTTTTGTTGTTTAGAGGACAAAAGGCTTTCAAATTCAGACCTCTGTCGTCTTCATCTTCGTCTGCCGAACCTTCTAGAAAGCTTGTTCTCTACTCTAAACCAGGTTGCTGTTTGTGCGATGGCCTTAAAGAGAAGCTTCATGCTGCATTCTTACTCGCCGGTCCCGATTCACTTAACGACGTTGATTTGCAGGCATATCTCTTTCTCTCACGTTGGTTGTTTTATGGGTGACAATAGGTACGAGGTTTTTATTTGATTTTTGCTTTTGTTTTGTCAGATAAGGGATATAACCAGCAATCCCGTGTGGGAAAATGCTTATCAATACGAGATACCTGTGTTGGCTAAGGTGCTTTCCGATGGCACCGAGGTTTGTTCCCTTACGCACACTACTCTTCTTCATTCTTAGGGCAGGCATTGATGATTATGAAGCTCTTTAATTCAACACAGTGGGGGCTACTACTCGCATTGACGAGTGTGTAACTAGAAAATTTTAGACGGGAATGAAAATTGAAAGGGTGGGACTTGCTTAAAAAAATTAGGCTTAAAAGAGGTTGTTTTGGGACACTTTCTGCCCCGGAGACCTAGGTGATTGCATCTGATTTTCATTGGTGAAGGGTTACAAGGTAGGCAAGTGCCTAATTTCTTTGAATCGTGATTTAGCAGGGATTCATGTTTCTCGTAGAAGTGTGTCCCCCACTAGGTTTTCATAATGTCTTTAAATAGTTAAAGTTTGATGCTTGTATTTGTATGCAAACCTGCAATCAGTAGTAGGACAAAGAATTTTCCTGGTGATTTGAATATCATCTTTGAATGACTGATATCTTTTGCAGTTTTTTCTACTCAAACTAAAAACAAACATTAGGAAACCTCTCCTACTTTTTTGGTTTTATTAAGTCCTGAATTACTTGACTCTTGGAAGATTTTTATCTCCTTCAAGTATTCCCTATTTGCAAACCTACCAGAATTCGTTTTTGAATTTGATATCACAATTATTCATCCTTGCTTTCCCCAACATAACATGCAGCCATCTAGTTTGAACTCAGCTTATTGTTGATCACTATTGACGAACTTCTAACTTTTTCATTTGAGTCTTCGTTGTGTCTTTTTATTTGAAGATGAATAATTGGTCCAATTTGTTAGCATAGTTGTTTGACTCCTTATTAAGCTCATTCCCCTTCTAGTTTTCACTATTATGTCATGGTTTTGGTTATAGTACTTAGATTGCGGTATATTGGTGTTTGCATATCATTCGGACCTTAACTGTTGGATAGTCAGGTCTTACATTCATACTTAGTCTGAATTTTGTTTAATATTTAGATGTAATTTATTGCACACGGTGATTATAGTACGCCATTGTGCCGGTAGATACTGAACTGTGGGCTTATGAAATATATTTGATATAACCCCAAAATAAACACAACTAAAGCCTAAACAAATAGGGCATAGAGTGTTAGCAAAGAAGTACTAAGAGATACCATCTTTGAAACGAAAAAGAAGAGTGTTTCGGTTTAAGACTATAATTGTCTATAATTTATTTGAAATTTACAAATTCTGGTGACCCTCCAAAATGAGAAATGGGCATCCTCCAAAATTTATGATTTTCAATTACTTTCAACGAAATGGTAGATTGAATGTTGGAGGGTGTTGCTAACATTCCTTGAAGAAAAGTCCAAAGAAGCAACTTGCTAATCTTAATCTATCAAAGCTTTTCCCTTTCCTTCTTAATCATAATCCTCATTGAAAACACAATTGTAACTTTGGCCATCTTAAGCCTGAAGAACTACCCATATAAGTCTGTCTTTCTCATTTCGAAGTTGCATCGCAATTTGCTCAACCATCTTTATGAAGATGGACCTCATGGAAGTAAACCAGTTCATTAGAAGTTTTTTAGTCCTATTAGTTTCTGATTTTATGGTCCAACTCCTAATAATTGATACTGTGTTCTCCCTTTCTTGCAATATTCATGACAACCAAGTAATAATAAAATAAGATTCAACATAGAGATGGAATGATTCTGTCTGAGTAAACTTTGTTCTGTTTTCTAGGTGGCTTTACCACGATTGTCCCCACGTCTAGGAGTGGAGCTCCTCCATAAGAAGATAGCGGCTGCTCTGAAACAACAATAAAGGTGTCTCAGTTTTTGTTTTGTAACTTTACATTTACCATTTAAAAACCATTTTTGTAAATTATATTTGCTGTTTTTCATTATTCTTTTAAGTTTTCTGTGAAGTATAGTGTATGAATAAATCAAATACATAACGCCGCCTCTGATGTGTGGAAGTTGCACAAACATATACTCACTAACACCGAAGAAGTTCCTTACATATTAAAAATTAGAGGAAAGTTTAATGCATTTTCTTACGTCTCTGAAACACTGTATAACAATGATCTTTCTTAGGGTTTGAAGTTCTGTTTTCTTACTATTGCTGCGTCTAACCCTAATCATAGAAGAGTGCATGTTTTCCTGCATAAGTATATAGTTCTTTGTATGCATATTTTTAAAAATAGATTATATATATTTACGGTCATTTAATCATATATAGCATTGTGTGTAATAGTATTGTTAATTATTAAAATAACTACTTAAAAATCATTACAACGATAGTTTGAGACTGATTAAATAAAGGTATACATGGTCATCTTACGCCTTTTTTTGGGTCCACTTTTCCTTGTGTTTTTAAGTAACCATTTAGCAACCGTTTCCTCTCTTGAAAAATTCTATCTTGCAGCATAAAATAGAACAACAATTGGCTTTAACATTCTTTATTTTTTTTAATCTAACATTTCTGATATATATAATAATAATAATAATTTACAGAATAAAAATAAAATATAATAATATAAATAAATTTATATAATTGATAAAAATAAATTTATAAAATAATAAAAAATAATTAATAATATTAATAAACAACAATAATTATAACTATAATTTTTACTTCAAGAAAAAAATTATTCATCTTACAATTTCAGCTTTTAAAACAATTTTTTTATATCTACATCAATTAAATTCTGTACAAACTTTCTTCTTATTTTCCTACATTTTTTATTATCTTTTTCTTTATCCATACAACATAATTTTCATTTACCTTTTGTTTTTCATATCTTTCACTTCCTCAAATCTATCATTCAATTCAAAGAGACCGTGATGCAAATTTGGTATTTGATCCAGGGACGCTTAGACATAATCTTAGGACAAGAACAGGACATGAATTATATTTGCCTCTAGATATTGGGCTTGAGGTCTATTTAGGATAAAAGAATTAATTTTATTTCATCTTACTTAATAAAATTTGCTGTCCTACTACTCCTAAACAATAAAATGGATAGTAATTGTTTAAAAGTCTATAAATATACACTTACACCGTCATTATAAAATAGGAATATACATTGAATATCTTTGAGTTAACCCTTTTTCAGCTTTGTCACAGCTATTGCATCCTCGAAATAAAATTGTGATTAACTTTATTTTTTTTGTGAAATAGTATTTTTACTTTTGTAAAATTTAAATTCGAAATTTTGTTTGTAAGATTCATTGTTAAAAAATTTAAATATATAACTCAAAAATAGTATTTTTTTTAATCTATATAAAAAATCTATTTATTTTTTATTATAGAATTGAAAATCACTACATTCAATCTAATATTATGTGACGGGAACAAATGACTAATTGGCCATTTCCAACCACGTCTATGATATGTTATCAATATTTGTCATTTTAAAATAATATAATATATAGAATAAACTTCATTTATTCATCTTAAAATTGATAGTAAAGACAAAAAGTAGTAATTTAAAATGTTGAGAAAAAATATTTTATATGAATAAAAACTAAAATTCCCTCATTTTATAAATATTAAAAATAAGGATTACAAATCTTACCATGTGAGGTGTCAGAACCATTAAAAACGCACCCAAAAACCCTTGAACGGACGTCAGGTGTCAAGTTGAGGGGAGTCGGAAATCAGATAGTGGAATGCATGTGTCAGCAGATGAGTGGACGTTCGTTTTAAGCAAAACTGAGTTTTTGAAAGTTTACGTCACACTCTCTCTCCATGCATCTTCTTTTCCAAACTCTGATATTCTCAAATTCTCCTCCTTCTCTCTAAAAGCCCTCCCTTCTCTCTACCAATTCACATCCTTTCTCTTCTCCGATCTTCATTCAGGCACCGTGAAAATATTTCCGGCGTCAAGAGCTTCAGTTTGAACCGATCGGTTTTGGATTCTGAACTGGTAAGTTCTTTTTCTCATTAGTCGTTCGTTATCTGGTACATGCAAACCAATTTCTGGTTTCATGATTTCATCTTGTCTGAGTCTTTGTTGGTCTTCTGTTGTTTGGTTTAGTTTGAAGATTTGTTGAGCGTGAGGGTAGAAGAAATTTTAGTCAGGCAAACCATATTCGGTCTCTAGGATGGTCGTTCACGCTCAAAGGTAAGGGAAGCTTATTAATTTAATTTGTATGATTATGTGTGTTGCATGAACGTTCGTTGAAATTGACTGTATTAATATATGATGGTTGATATGTTTGGGATTATATGAAGTATGAAAATTGATTATGATATGAATGTATAAGTTATGAAACTATATGTTAAGAAATGAGGTGAATATAAATGAATTCTGAAAATTGAAATTTCACTATGATAGTGTACGTTCGTCACTAAATGGTCATTGACTGTTCGATAATGTTAGTATACTTGGTTAGAATTGGATTCTTTCATTTGGGAAGAATCCTAGTTGAGGACGAGCGTCTTCGCGTTGTAATACTATGCGACCAAGCATAGTTGTATCTGGGTATTCTGGGATAAACTTAAATTTGTAAATATATGTATTTGTATATTTTAGTTATTCTTAAACACTATTCCAATAATATCTTATTATATTTATCAAGCTTTCTATTATAAGCTTAGTAGTGCTCGGTCTTACACCAAGCGCTCGTACTTGTCTATGTTATAATCCATCTTGATGAAATGGCGTTCGTCCAACTTAAATAGAGTTTTCTCTCTACGGTGCTCGGTCATTGACTGACATTCTGTGTTCTTGATACTAAACTCAAATAAGTTAAGTATTCACAAGTGTTCGGTTTCTTCATGTGAATTCTTCTAAGCATTATTCTTTGACTGTCTTGAAGTGTCTATATATATCTTGGTTCCAACCTAGAGCCTTAGTACTTGACATGGATTTTTGGTGTTCGGTCTCTCAAGAGTCAGTTCATCTAATTGGCTCACTTTGTAAGTAACGTTCGTCCTGATAGTTTCCTTGAGATATGATTGTACTCAGTTTCTTTCTCAACCCGATAATAATCCTCTCGGTCTTAATCTATTCTAAAACTGGAGACCTCTCTGTCTCGTTCCAAGCGTTTGTTCTTGTTCTGAGTTAAAGCTTAACGTTCGGTATTTGGTACCATTAGTGATCCTTGAATGAATGGTTTAATTGAGATAATTTATAATGAAAGATGAAGAGAATGTGATATGGATGGAAATGTTGTGGATTATGGACGAGCGTTCCGGGGAGGAACGACTCATGGTTGAATATTGGAATTTGTAAAGTATGAACGTGGGCATGCTAAGCTGACAGTTTATCCTGATGTTCCGTGAGTACTCGTCCTCACGTAGAGGAGGGTAGGTCATGTGTGGGAATGGCAGGATGTCCTAGTCCTTAGGGGTACTTTGGACAGATAGGACTAACCTCGGGTGGCAGCTGTTGAGGGTATCCCAGTTACTACATCACCCGGGTGCACGAACGCCTGTAGCTACACAGATTTCATACAGTCCGGACAGTCAGTCTAGTATTAAGCTTTGTATGAATTTATAATGAAATATATCTTTGTGTTTGATTGTGTGAAAATGTATGTTTATACATGAATTAAATTACATAAGCTTATCCTGTGTTTCCTATCTTGTCATGTTTTGTACGTTCGTCTTGTCATTGCAATGATCATCCGTTGTGAATGTAAGCAGAAGGAGACGAGCTTCTGGAAGAGGCGCTTGAGAAAGAGAACCTTGTTGAGGTAGAAGTGAAGACCGAACAATAGGACGTTCGGTCAAGAGTCTAGTTATAGTAAGGTGGTCGTTCAATCACCTTCTCCTTTTGTTTTGATTGACTGTTCGGTATAGTTTTTTGTAAACCGTTTGGTCAGAATTGTAATCCTGTACAGTTTTAATTTCTCGCAATGCTGTTTAAGACCGTTCAGCAATAACCGTATGTTCTTCTAATGTAAGACTGATTTGAATTACTATTAAATGTTAATATTTTATTGTATAGTTTTAGACTGTAGTTTTGGATGTTACATAAGGAGAAAGAATAATAAAAAATTAATCATGATCCACTCACAGATTAAAAATATATTTAAAAACTGTATAATAAGAAATTCCAAATAAATCTCTAAAGTTTTTAAAATCAAATTATTATATATACGTTATGTACATCTTATATGTAATCATAGTGCGCATGTAACGTGTGAATCGTTGTTTTAAAATTTATTGTTATCTTTCTTAATATCGATTAAGAAGATGAAACCATAATTAAGAATTTTAACCTTATACAGTAGAAATAAAAAATTGAAATGATCATGAGTTGGTTTGAAAATGAAATGGAGTTATCTTTCGTTACTCCAAGGGCTTTGTCTTGTTTGGTTCTCTCTCTTAAACCCTAAATCAAAGGGTTGGTTGGTTCGTGTGTCGTTGATTTTGATTGATGATTATGAAGAAGAGAGAGTTGAACAATCTTCTCTCTCGCTCTATGCAATTTTTACACCCAAAACAACACTGCTCCAATTCCTCACACCACCCTCTCCCAGGTCTTCTTCCCTCCGACGATGAAACTTCTTTGCACGATTCTTCCCTCCAGTTGTCGCAACACTACGCATTCCTCCGCAACTCTTTGCTCAATTCCTCCACCCCCTCCGGTGACTCCTCTAACGATGCCGTATCCATCTCCAACGCAATCAGAACCGGGTTTGGCTCCGAAACCCAAAATTTCTTGAGGCAGTTTCGGGGTAAGCTAAGCGAGTCTCTGGTTGTTGAGGTGATGAATCTCGTTAAACACCCTCAGCTGTGCGTCGAGTTTTTTCTGTGGGCGAGTCGTCAAATCGGTTACACCCACACTCCTGTGGTGTACAATGCGCTGATTGAGTTACTGTGTTGCAATGACGTTAATGAAAGAGTGTCTGACATGTTTCTGATGCAAATTAGGGATGATGACAGGATGCTTCTTCGGAAGTTGCTCAATTTTCTCATTCAAAAGTGTTGCAGGAATGGGATGTGGAATGTGGCGTTGGAAGAGTTGGGGAGGCTTAAGGATTTCGGGTACAAGGCTTCTCCTACCACTTATAATGCTTTGATTCAGGTTTTTCTTCGGGCTGATAAGTTAGATACTGCTTACTTGGTTCAGAAAGAGATGTCCAACTCTGGGTTTTTCATGGATGGATATACTCTCAGTTGTTTTGCCTATTCCCTTTGCAAAGCGGGGAGGTGTGAGGATGCGCTGAGTTTGATTGAGAAGGAAGACTTTGTGCCTGACACAGTTTTTTATAATAGGATGCTTTCCGGGTTGTGCGAAGCTTCGCGTTTTGAAGAAGCTATGCAAATTTTGGATCGAATGCGGTTGAATTCCTGCATTCCCAATGTTATTACATATAGAACTTTGGTTTCTGGTTGTTTGGGGAAAGGGCAGCTGGGCAGGTGTAAGAGAATTCTTAGCATGATGATGACAGAAGGCTGTTATCCTAATCGGGAAATGTTTAATTCTCTTGTACATGCCTTTTGTAAATCCAGGGATTACTCTTATGCCTATAAGTTGTTTAGGAAAATGGATAACTGTGGGTGCCAACCCAGCTATCTGCTTTATAATATATTCATTGGTAGTATATGCAGCAATGAGGAGCTGCCCGACTCAGATTTGCTGGAATTGGCGGAAAAGGCTTACAGTGAAATGTTAGATTCAGGGGTTGTGTTAAATAAGGTAAATGTCAGCAATTTTGCACGGTGTCTTTGTAGAGCTGGAAAGTTTGATAAAGCCTTTAAGATTATATGCGAAATGATGAGCAAGGGTTTCATTCCTGATGATAGTACATATTCTAAAGTTATTGGTTTTCTTTGTGATGCCTCCAAGGTAGAGAAGGCTTTTTTGTTGTTTGAAGAAATGAAAAAGAACGGCATTGTTCCCAGTGTTTATACGTATACTATTTTAATCGATAGCTTTTGCAAAGCTGGTCTTATTCAACAGGCTCACAAGTGGTTTGATGAAATGTTAAGAGACGGATGCATCCCAAATGTAGTGACTTATACTGCTCTTATTCATGCATACCTGAAAGCAAGAAAGGTGTTTGATGCAAATAAACTATTTCAGATGATGTTGGTGGAAGGTTGCAACCCTAATGTTATTACGTATACAGCTTTAATTGATGGTCATTGCAAGGCTGGGCAGATTGATAAAGCTTGCCAGATCTATGCCAGAATGCAAGGTGACATGGAATGCTCTGACATGGACATGTATTTTAAGCTAGATAACAATGACTGTGAAACACCAAATATTATTACATATGGGGCTTTGGTGGATGGTTTATGCAAAGCAAACAGGGTTAAAGAAGCCCGTGAATTATTGGATACCATGTCAATTAATGGTTGTGAACCTAACCAAATAGTGTATGATGCTCTCATAGATGGGTTTTGCAAGACTGGAGAGCTTGAAAGTGCACGGGAGGTGTTTGTAAAGATGTCAGAGCGTGGATATAGTCCGAATTTGTACACTTACAGTTCTTTAATTAATGGTCTGTTTAAAGAGAAACGATTGGATCTTGTTTTGAAAGTGTTGTCCAAGATGTTAGAAAATTCTTGCACTCCAAATGTTGTTATTTACACAGAGATGATTGATGGCCTCTGTAAAGTTGGAAAGGCGGATGAAGCATACAAGCTCATACTTAAAATGGAAGAAGTGGGTTGTTATCCAAATGTCGTAACTTATACTGCAATGATTGATGGCTTGGGGAAATTGGGAAAAATTGAACAGTGTCTTGAGCTATATACTAGTATGTGCTCAAAGGGCTGTGCACCAAACTTTATAACCTATAGGGTCTTGATAAATCATTGTTGTTCCGCTGGCCTTCTTGATGAAGCACACAGACTTCTAGATGAAATGACACAGACGTATTGGCCAAGGCATTTGTCAAGTTACCGGAAAATTATTGAGGGCTTTAATCGAGAGTTTGTAATCTCAATTGGGCTTTTGGATGAGCTGAATGAGAATGAATTAGCCCCAGTCGAGTCTTTATACAGAATTTTGGTTGATAGATTTATCAAGGCTGGAAGACTGGAAGTTGCGCTGAATCTACTTGAGGAGATTTCATCATCTCCAAGTCTTGCAAATGCCAACAAATATCTATATACTTCCTTAATTGAGAGTCTGTCCCTTGCAAATAAGGTTGATAACGCTTTTGAGCTTTATGCAAGCATGACAAATAAGAGTGTTGTTCCAGAGCTTAGCACATTTGTCTATCTCATCAAAGGCCTTACCAGGGTTGGTAGGTGGCAAGAAGCACTACAATTATCAGACAGCATATGCCAAATGGTTTGTTGCACTTTCTCTAACTTTGTTAAGTACAAAACAACACAAGGATAAACTTCCCATGACATTTTACTGAATTATTTTAAACATGTTAACATTAAGTGCTTCCTTTATGCATTTAGTGGTAAAAGTATTCGTCAAACTTGCCGTGACATTTCTTACAAAACCACTCTGTAAATCTACTAGATCCTTAAGTTATTATTTATGTTTGTTTGTTCTGATCCTTTTTATTTTGCACTTTCTTTTGACATTGCAGGATATTTGCTGGCTTCATGAAGAGATAACCGTTGTGGATTAAATTTATGATGTACAGAACTGCTGATTGAATGCGAGTTATGTAACTTAAAGAAAATGAATATAGGTAGGATAGAAGAAATGGTTAATCTGGTAAGTGATTGCTGTTTCATAATCTCTAATATCTTATGACACCTTTCATTACTATTGATCTTCAACTGCAAATGTTGATTTTTGAGGAAAAATGTTTTAAAGTGTTAGAAGTCTCACATCTAAAGTGGGCAAAGGCTTCCTTTCTTCATTTGCATATATATAGAAGTGTAAGTGAAGGTTTAAGATGCACCAACATTTCTTGTATCCTCCTTGTATTCAAAGAGAGGATGTTGTAATTTCTTCCATTTAGTGAATATTTTTCTTGTGAGAGCTTATTTTCATTACTCTGATAGTATCAGAGCCTATTGGTTATTGATATTATTCCGCTGCATGTATACTGGTATAGTGTCACAGAAAATTCTAGTATGCTCTGTGGTTGCACTAAAATCTTATCTGCCACATCAGAAAGAATTATTCTTGCTACTAGAAGCATAGTGCGAGATTGTGAAAGTGCATGTCTAGGGAAGGTTCTGGATAAGGAAAAACTTGGTATTTAAGCGTGTCTATCTGAGACCCACTTCTCTTTCTTAGGAACTTACCTAGTGTACTGGTTCATAAATTATAATCACTATTCCAGTAGGCGGTACTATACATAGTAGAAATTGTGTAAGTCGGTTCAAGAGTGAAACCATGACAGCAAAATTTGAGATAGAAAAGTTTTTCAACGGGAATAATTTTGCCTTGTGGAAATTGAAGATAAGGGCAGTTTTGAGAAAAGACAATTGTCTAGATGCAATTGAAGGCAGATGTGCAGAAATTTCTGATGAAAAGTGGAAAGAGATGGATGACAATGTTGTTGCCAATTTGCACTTAGCAATGGCAGATTCAGTTTTGTCTAGTATAGTAGAGAAAAAGACTGCAAAGGTGATTTGGGATACTCATTAAATTGTACGAGGTCAAGTCACTTCACACAAGAATATTCTTAAAGAAAAAACTCTACTCTTCGAATAAGTGAGTTAATGCCAGCGACGGAACACATCAACAATTTGAATACATTGTTTGCTCAGCTCACAACATCAGATTTCAACATAGTAGAAAATGAACGTGCAGAGCTTCTACTTCAGAGTTTACCAGATTCGTATGATCAACTCTTCATCAACATTACAAATAAAACCATTATCGGTCGTCTCTCCTTTGATGATGTTGCTGGAGCTATTCTTGAAGAAGAGTTCAGGCGAAAGAATAAGGAAGATAGGTCAGAAAGTTCGAAGCAAGCAGAAGCTTTAACAATGATGAGAGGAAGATCAAATGAACGTAGCTCTAGTGGGAGTCAAAATCATGGTAGATCAAAGTCTCGAGTAAGAAGAATTTTAAATGCTACAATTTTGACATGAGAAGGCATTTGAAAAAGGATTGTTGGTACAAGAAGAGTGGAGGGAAGAACTTTGAAGCATCAAGCTCTCAAGGTTGCATTGCAAAAACTTCTGACGATGGAGAAATCCTATATAGTAAAGCAGAAGCTAGTTCTAAAGGCAGAAAACAACTTTTTGATGTCTGGAGTATAGATTTAGGCGCAACATGGCATTTGACTTCACACCGAGACTGGTTTCACACTTATGAACCTATCTAAGAAGGATCTGTGTTCATGGGGAATGATCATGCCTTAGAAATTGCAGGAATTGGTACTATCAAATTCAAAATATATGATGGTATATTACGCTCGCTTCAAGGGGTTCGACATGTGAAGGGATTGAAAAAGAACCTCTTGTCTGTTTGGCAATTGGATGACCTTGGGTGCAAAATTCACATTGAAGGTGGAATCCTAAAAGTGATGAAAGGTAACCTCATTGTGATGAAAGCAAAGAAGATCACAGTCAANCAGATTTCAACATAGTAGAAAATGAACGTGCAGAGCTTCTACTTTAGAATTGTACGAGGTCAAGTCACTTCGCACAAGAATATTCTTAAATAGAAAACTCTATACTCTTCGAATAAGTGAGTTAACGCCAGTGATGGAACACATCAACAATCGGAATACATTGTTTGCTCAGCTCACAACGTTAGATTTCAACATAGTAGAAAATGAACGTGCAGAGCTTCTACTTCAGAGTTTACCAGATTCGTATGATCAACTCTTCATCAACATTACAAATAAAACCATTATCGGTCGTCTCTCCTTTGATGATGTTGCTGGAGCTATTCTTGAAGAAGAGTTCAGGCGAAAGAATAAGGAAGATAGGTCAGAAAGTTCGAAGCAAGCAGAAGCTTTAACAATGATGAGAGGAAGATCAAATGAACGTAGCTCTAGTGGGAGTCAAAATCATGGTAGATCAAAGTCTCGAGTAAGAAGAATTTTAAATGCTACAATTTTGACATGAGAAGGCATTTGAAAAAGGATTGTTGGTACAAGAAGAGTGGAGGGAAGAACTTTGAAGCATCAAGCTCTCAAGGTTGCATTGCAAAAACTTCTGACGATGGAGAAATCCTATATAGTAAAGCAGAAGCTAGTTCTAAAGGCAGAAAACAACTTTTTGATGTCTGGAGTATAGATTTAGGCGCAACATGGCATTTGACTTCACACCGAGACTGGTTTCACACTTATGAACCTATCTAAGAAGGATCTGTGTTCATGGGGAATGATCATGCCTTAGAAATTGCAGGAATTGGTACTATCAAATTCAAAATATATGATGGTATATTACGCTCGCTTCAAGGGGTTCGACATGTGAAGGGATTGAAAAAGAACCTCTTGTCTGTTTGGCAATTGGATGACCTTGGGTGCAAAATTCACATTGAAGGTGGAATCCTAAAAGTGATGAAAGGTAACCTCATTGTGATGAAAGCAAAGAAGATCACAGTCAATTTATACATGCTTCCCCTTGAACTCCGTGTAGTATCCCTAATTTAAATAATACAAATGCAGATAGATGGCTCTTCACGGGTTAACTAGTAAAAGGGGGAATGTGGATTTGATTATTATCGTGTCTCTTGATTATCTTCTAGATAAAATTGCGAGGCTTGTAAAAGCTATCTATATTTTTTACTTTAACCTTTTATTTTTTTACTTTTTTTTAAGAAAAACCTAAATCTTTACCTCTCATTCTCACTCTCACAGTAGCCCCACCCCCAACTCTCATTTTCACTTTCACAGCAGCGCCGCCCCCCCTCCTCCACCTCCACTCTCATTTTCACTCTTTCTCTCCATATCTAAAATTACATCATACAAGAAAGAACTCAATACAATTGGAGTAACCATTGACGTTGAGAGAAAGGGTGCCTCTTGATTTCTAATCACCTTAACCATCTCTTTGATTATGACACCATTGTGAAAACATATGGGTACATCCTTTTTCTCTCAAGAAGATTATTCCTGTTTTTTTGTATTCTTTTCAAAATTTTAAGCCTACAATGGTATCTATGATTCATTCTGTCTTATTATTGCAACCTTGTGCATGTGTATAGGTACTTGAGCGAATACAAGTGGAAAATTGAAGATAATGCTGCTAGAAAAATTTAGATTCCAGAAAGTAAAGTGTGGGTCAGAACAATGCGTCATACATGACCAGGATGATCTTTTTGGTTCAAAATTTTATGTATTGGATGATGTCTATGATGATGATTGTCACGCCCCATTTAATGCCTCTGTGCCTCATTAATACACCCACGCCCCTCCACGTGCTGTGCCATTAATGTGCACGTTTATTCTCTGAATCTCTTTGACATGTGTCACATCGGAAGGTTCTGCACTCAATTCTGGAAGCCAGGTGTCAGC